TCACGCTTTTACGTGTAAGCCCTAAGCGAAATCTAGTTTTTGTTTATTCATTAGGTTACCCCGCGCTTTAAGTGGTACGTGGAGAAGGCTTGCCCCGGCACATGGAACCCGGGGTGGCGGGCGGAGGGGCAGAGCTAGCGGGTTGGGGGAGGGGGAGGAGGGTGGACCGCCGTATCTCCGATATGCCACCAGCCATAAAAATCTGAATATATTAGGCGTACATGCACACGACATCTCGCTCGGATCGTGAACACGTTACCCACGATAATCTATGCTCGTTTCTAGCACACTTTAACACGTTTCTGCGTACACACCAGCCCCGCCAGTCAGCTACTCGTTTCTTCTCCTCGCCTTTCTAGTACGCGCTCTCGCGATCCCCAATCCCGTTTTTCTTCTTCACTCGTTCTTTATTAAATAACCGAGGGAAATTTATCTTCTGTCTTTATGGAGATCAATGCGATGGTCCATTTCCCTGGGCGTTTAACGCGACCGGTGATGTCTGAGGATATCCCGTATTAGACGGAGAGTTTTTCTCTGCGAAGGGGCAACTTTCTATTGGATTGTGGGAGTGTTTTTTTGTGGTTTATTCGTTGATTTGAATGGGATTGTTTGTATGTTTAGAATGTTGTATTATTGGATTTGTGGATACGTTTGTTGAATATGGTTGATGATGATTACCTGAATACTTTTGTCATTGTGAATGTTGGGGACGTAATTTACTGCAAAATTTGGAGAAGTTTATTCATTGCCTTTATCGTGTAGGAGAATTTTTAAATTTATGAAATTGTGAAAAATTTGTTGCTAAAAGATAAACGTAAAATAATATCGTTAAAAAGTTAATAAGGAATTGGTAAAGAATTGAATAACACTGATATTAGTAAAGACTATAGAGAATTATCAATTGAATAGTTTTGCTATTCGCCGCATGCCGATAGAAACAAAATTTTAGTAATAATTAAAGAATATGAGAAAAAGGAGGAGGAATTGAAATTCGTTATTAAATGAGAAGAGAAAGTACAGTCCGGCTAAAATGAAAATTTATCATAAAATATAATCCTGTTTAATTTATCCTACATTCCTCGACCTCTTCAGTATTCAAACACCAATGACTCTTAAACACCTCTACCATAAAAAGATCATGATTACCCAGTGAATCGTCTCATTCTTGGACTATGATCATTAAACTAAGGATCTTGGTCAAAATTTATGTTTATTTAAATTACCGTACAGACAAGTTAACTCATTCGTGCAAGAATAACGAGCAAGACTTGTGGCGCATGACTGAAGAATAATAAATATTAATACGTTATAGCTTCCAGTTTTTTCTTTGCCCTTGTATCTCTTGATGTGTTTTTAAGTGTTTAATGATTTACTTCCACACCACAGCGTCTCAGTATCGCAGAAAATTAGCGTATCTTGTCCATGGTGGTTACGAAATGCCGTATAAAAGACTTCATTGTGTCCCGAGCGAAATAAAAA